AGAAAAAGGCAAATTGCCATTTTTGCTTAATGTCACTTTATGCCAAAAGCTAAATCTTTGAGACATGGGGCCAGATCTTTGAGGCAAGATCAAGTCCACTAATTCCAATTACCAAGAACAAAAGATGCAGCATGATAGACAGGCTTCGACAGGGCTATAACATCATTTGCACTTTCTTGCTTCAAGTAGAAGAAACTTGCAAAAACAAAACAGATCTCACATATCTGTTAACACAAGCCAAAACAAACTTTGTGAACCAGTTCCATACATCAAAACAAGCCTGAAGCACGACCCTTCTACCTCTGAAACCTTCTCATACTCAGAATCCCTGTTTTGCTGCAAAACAGGGCAAGTTTTGCAAACTTCAAGCCATAACCAATTCCTATCGTGCGTTTTGTCCAAAAGGGCTTCAAACACCCTCCAATCAATCTACCTGAGCTATCCCAGACCTCCATTGCAAGTTGTAACACCTCTAACACACTTTGCCATTTTCATTTCAAAGCTTTGCAGGTGGAGTTCTACAGCACGATTCAAGGTGTTTCAAAGCAAGCCAAGCGTTGGAGAAGCTTCCTTGGACCTCAGGCAAGCTCAACAGAAGCTCAAACACCATTGAAGGTTGCTGCATTGCCCTACTCGATTCAAGCTGAAACAGGTATTTCATGGACTTCTATCTCTCTATTTAGGAATGGTTAGGCTTAGGTTTGTGAATAAAATATGTTGTACTCATAGCCCTGAAACCATACATATGCTTAGTTTTCATTTACATTAATCGTGTTGAGAGAATTTCATCCATGAACATGTGAAAAAAGTTAGGTCAGATTTTAGGGCCAGAGAAATTCTCTCTGGTCTTTAAGAGTTAATCTAAGTTTTTTATATGGTTGAATTCGTTATTTGATGCTCTACAATGTTTATGTTATGAGTTTTGTCAAAAAATCAAAAAATCAGGAGATGGCATTTTCTATACAAAGCACGCGTGTTGTAGTTCAGAGGAAGAAGATGAAGTCAGTGGGCTGGGCTTGGTTCTGGCCTTGCTTTTGATACCCCCCCTTTTGCTGAATACACCCCCTGGCCCATTTCTTGTATTTTTGTTATTTTTGCATTTTTTATTTTTGTTTTTGACTTTGATATTTTATTTTCAAATATAAAAAATATATAAAAAATATTTTCACAAGTTTTTATATTTATTTGGTATTTATTTGAATTTTTTCTAACATTTAAATGTTTAAATACTTATATTATCTTTTGTTTAAATTTAAAAAAATAATGCAAAAATATGTTTTATTTTCATTTATTATTTTTATTCACATTTGAAAATGTTTTCTTGAAATACATACACTTTGTAAATAATTTATTTTATTTTTATACACACTTAGCATATTTAATATATTTAATATATACATATACATATTTTATTAGATAATTAGGACAAAAAAGACAAAATAATACATTTTTATTTTATTAATATTTGACACTAAAAATAATTTTTTTACAATATACTTTTATTTTTGCATAAATTAATATACTATTGTATATAATTATTAAATATTACTATTTATTTAAAAATTAGGGTTTTGCCCTAAATAACAAAAATACTTAAAAATTGACTTTTTTTTTATTTGTTTATGCTTCACATTAAAAAATACTTTTGCATAATACATTCCATTTGATATTTTTGTATTTATTTAAATATTAAATATTGCATTGCACATTCGATATGGTTGTAATAACTTAGAATTTATTTCCTTGTCAAATATCTCCAATTCAAATTTGTATCCCCCTCCCTATATCATGTTGTAATAGTGTAGCATTTAAATTCTCGCACATTTAAAAGCTTTCAATTATACCATGCCTAGACCTAGGGTTTGTATGCAAAATAAAATCAACAAGTAGCTTGACCTAATCCAAGATAAACATGCATGAAAAAACAAACACAATGCACACAAGCACCCCTAGGGTTTCATCCACTTGTTGCCTTCAAAAATGGGCCATGGTTGCATGTCAAGTACTTTGGCAAAATAAAAACAAACAAAAAGATCATAGTCCCTCGATGACGCTATCTGAGTTTCCTAAACAAAATGATCAAGTCCCTCAAGAAAATTGCCAAAGATACTTGACACTATTGCTATCATGGTCTATACGATGACCCGCGCCTGTCCCGTTTAACATCCTAACACAAGGTTGTTCACCAAATACAATGGTGAAACAACACTGTTAAAAGGGTTAAAAACATAAGAAAGATCTTTGAGTAAAATAGGGTAGATAGCTCTTAGTTACTTGATCAAACTTGCAAAAACCTCCTTGCTACTTTTCAAAACACACTCCACAAACACAATTTCAAAACCCTACTTTCAAACATTGAAAACTTTTTAAAAGACAAAAACACCTTTGTATACATTCAAACAAGAATCATTACAAAGGTTTCCACAACGATGGCCTCTTCTCAAAACATTTTCCAAAATCACACACAAAGCACCATTTCAAATATTTGAAAAGCACCATTTCAAACATTTGAAAAACACCATTTCAAATAATTGAAAAATCAAAGCAAGTGATCTAAGCGAGTAACTAAGAGCCCATGGATAACCATGGATAGAAAGGGTGTTAATACCTTCCCTTTCTATAATCTACTCCCCGAACCCAAGAAAACATCTCAAAGGTCTTTCTTGTGCTTTTTGACCTTTCCTTAGGATAAAATAAAAAGTCGGTAGCGACTCTTGCTAAACCGAAACATTTGCAAACACAAACGCAAAACCCAAGTCAGTTCTCCCACCGTATCACATTAAGTCTCAATGAAGTTTGTTGAAGAAGACATAGAAATAAACACATGAACTTAACTCTTTGGTGAATGTCAACACCAACCTTGAGGAAAATTTGACCTAAATGAAATTGAAAGAGTCTTTCAACCATGGAGCTTTGATGCTATAAACATAGCCTTGAAGATCAAACTTCTAAGATCCACTGATTAACCATTTGTTTGAGAATCAACCCTCAAACCCCTAGTTGATGAGATGGGAGAGATGCACTTGATTTCACACCTATAATGCACAAAGTGTAAAGAGAAAACATTCATCTTTTGAATTTTTTTTAAGAGTTAGTAAACATAAAACACATATATGCATACACAACTCAAGGTGCTTGGTGACCCCTTTAGGGAAAACCCAAAGATATAAGAGGGTAGAAGTTACAACCAAATTCTAATGTGTGATCATGATGTATTGATGATATGAGATGATGAGAGATCTTATAGGCAAAATTTGGGGTATAACATCATGTTCTTCTCATATAGAGTCTTCAAGCCTTTGAAACTCTTGTGGAAAATCACTTTTGGACATTATATTGAATGTGTAGAGGGAACATACGAGTGGATGTCATTTATACTTCAGCTATTAGACCCTTCTCAGGATGATGAATTTGACACTTGCTTTGTTAGATGATGATGATGATGTAACCTTTTTCTTGCAATTGTCCCATACTAATGAGATTACTTTTCAAATCTGGGATATAAAACACACTAGAAATTATATGGATAATATTGTTTTTAGCATGGAATTTAATATCTCTTTTTCCCATGACATAAATGCAAGAATTGTTACCAAGCTTCACAGTTTCTCTAAATCATTGATCCAAATTACAAAACCAAGATTTGTTTCCACACATGTGATTGTTGGACCCCAAATCTAAATACCAAGTATTACCTAGTGGATTATCCTTGTCAATGTAAGCCATCAAGATCCATTCTTCTTTAGTTTTAGAAAAGTGTACCTTGGTTTCCTTCTCTTTGGTAGGGAATTCATATTGATAGTGGTCATGCTTGTGACAATGATAACACTCCACCTTTGCCATGTCAAATTGTGCTTCTCGATTGTAAAATTAATGTCCTCTACCTATGCCTCTATCTCGAAATCACCCACGACCTCTTCCTGGAGAATTGGTTCCTTCATGAGCAATGACTTTCAAGACTTGCTCCTCTACAACATAGTTAACCATCGTTTTCTCATGAACTAATAGTGAGCTTTGCAACTCATCAATCGTAAGACTATCAACGTCATTTGATTCTTCAATGGAACTCACCACATAATCAAACTTGTGTGTCATTGAACAAATGATTTTCTCAATGACTGCAACATCTTCCAATTTGTCTCTGTTAATATGCATCTTGTTTGCAATTGACAATATTCTTGAAAAATAATCATTAATTGGCTCCACTTCCTTCATGTGAAGAATTTCAAACTCTTTGCGAAGAGTTTGGAGTTGTGCACGGTTTACCCGTGCAGTGCTTGGATACTTCTTCTTCATTAAATTTCACATTTCTTTAGCAATGTCCTTCTTTAGGATTGTCTCCAGCACAAAGCTAATATTTTCAAACGCCATTGAAACAACTCTTGTTGCGGCAAGAAAGAAAGTTGTGGCTTTTTCAACTCAGGCTCCAATAGGGAGCTCTGGTACCAAATGTCAAAAACGTAAGAATAATTTACTGCAGAATTCAGATGTTAATTTACTGCAGAATCTGAATCATCGAATACATTTTTTGCACTGATAAAATTTAAAATTTATTGTCAACTAATGCAAAACAAGATTTCTTTCAATTCTAATCTTTAACTCCAATCTCTATTTGTGATGATCATGATTTCAAATTAGTCTCCGATAATTGCAATCACAACATCCACAACCGCAATTTAAAATTATGCTGGTGATTAAGTGTTTTTGTTCAATCAAATATACATCAACATGCAATTGCAAGATCATTTTGGCCATTAAGCCTTTTCCCTCAATAATAATAATAATAATAATATAATTCTCAAAAAAAGTTACAATAAACTATGTTTACATTTTTTCAGGACGTATACATTACCTTTTTTTAATGTTTTTGAGAAAGCCTTACACAAGCCCATCTTTCTACGCAAAAACAAAAACCAAAAAAACACTCATGCATGCATGCATGTGAGATTAGACAAATAATGAAACCATTAGAGTCATGATCATTGCGATTAACATGCAAATCATAAGCCTAATGACCTCATACTTAATTCATTGTAACGAGGATCCACAACATCCATACGCTGCAACCTCATTTCTTGATAAAAATGAGCAATAAACTCATCAGCTTTTGCATCAATCATGTCATCACCACCATCTCCATAATTCTCACAACCCTTATTCACAATCTCTTCCTCTTTCTCCTCCTCTACCATTTCATTAAGCCCCACCGCCGAAGCGTATCGACTACTAGCCTCAGACGCGTATCGGCTACTCACTGGAGACGGCGTATACGGATACTCAAACCCATCCTGACCTTGACGATCATCAGCAGTTTCAACGACCACTTTCACGTTTTTAAGATTATTCTGACCGTTGAGAATTTGTGGTGGAGATTGATTGCTTTGAAGATGCATAGGTCTCATGGACCCAACAAGCTTCCTCCATATGCCTCTAGATTCATCATCAACCGGAACAATCGCTTTTGATGATTTACGAGAACGCCCTCGCATCATGATAAGTGCAACCTTAAAGAAATTTTTTGATCCTTTATTCTTGATAATGGACTTTGGTTGAGGATTTTCATCAAGGGTTGTGTTTGGATTAAAGGTAATGATTGCGTTCTCAACCTTTGTCTCCATTGTTAATTGTGTGAGAACAATTAACAAAAGGTTGAAGAAAGAGGAAGGTTGTAATATTAAAACTAATGTGATATTAATTAAAATTAGTGTGACATTAATCTCACCTCACCCTGCGTTTTCCTGCAAAAAGCAGGGCGAGAATTTTAGGGAGGTTGAAATCAATCAGAGTGTGGTGAGAAAATTAGGAATTATTGCTTGTTATTTATTTTGGTTTAAGAGACATGAAGACAGCAAAACAGGAATATTCGTGTGAGGTTCAAGTGTTATTGTTAAGAAGAGGTTTGAAAGTTATGTGGGAACGCACGGTTGATTTGTAGAATGACTATGATAGCCTCCTATTGGAGAATATATTTTGGAATGATTCTAATATTAGGGTGGAGAAAATGGTAATTGCATTAGCGTTTTGCGGTTTTTGAGGCGAAATATTCTGGTGCAAAGAGGGAATGGTGTCTGTTTTGGGAGGATGTAAATACTAATGTTAACTTCTGTTCCTCTTATTTTGAACGTCTTCTACTCTTTGACCAAAAAAAAAAAAACACACAATTTTTCTCTCCACCCAAGTAACGTGAAATGGGATTACAAGAAAAAATCAAGTTATTTTCCTAATATAAAAAAAGAGGGAAAAATTTAGTGCAAGAAACAAATTTATGAATGGATATAATTTTACACGGTCATTTAATAAAAAATCATCAATCTGTTAAGTTATTAAAAAAGATTTAAACAAAAAATGATTTAACTAAATATATAATAGTGATTAGTTATCGGTATAAAAATTATGAAAATGTTCTAATATATGATAAATTTAAAAACAAAAATTCTTACGTCCCATATATATATAAGAAAGACACATTACTTATATCATTACTTATAAGAAAGACACATTCAAAAACTTTTTTAAGTTTTTTTTTTATTCTCTTCTTTTTTAAGATTTTCCTTTTTATTCTACTATGTGTTTCTGAATTGTCGAAACTCAATTTCTTCTACTTTCTATTTATTTGTTAGATTTTTTAACGTATTTTTTTGAGTTCTTTTTAGAGAATTTTTTTTAATTTTTTTCTCGTGTGAGTTGAAAAATTATCAAGTATTATTATTTTTAGATTCTCTTTGAAGAATTATTTAAGTTTACTTTTATTTGAAAAATTATTAAGTGGTCAGATGACCATTATTGAATTCTCTTTGAAATATTATTTGAATTTCTCCTCGTTTGAGAAATTATTATTATTGATTTTTATACTCGATATTACAAGTGGTATTTATACCATATTTGTCTAGTCTTTATATCCGATACTATGAATGGTATTTATATCATATTTGACTAGTGTTTGTACCATCGGAGTGAGTAACTGTAGATTGATTATCTATCGCACAAGTAGTATTCATACAGTATAAAACTTGGTTGTTTTATCTTGGAAGTGTCGTGGTTAAGTGATTGTTTTGTATAATTTTGGACAGTATCACGAAACGTCTTAAAGAAAATGTCCTAGTCCACGACTCAACCTGATAACTTCTTTAGTGACAATTTCAAACTCGTGAAACAATAATGTTAAGACGTTTCAAACTTCAATAGCTATCGAAGAAATTATTGATACTTCTGCGGCTGTTATCTCTAACAAATCATTTAAATTTGTGGGAAGTCACTTCAAATGATGGCAACAAAAGATGTGATTTTTCTTAACCTTAAAAAGGTTTCCAAACTTTTAACTAATGACATTCCTGTTGTTCCGTCTGGATCAACCAAGCAAACTAAGATAAGAAATTTGTGGGTTCAATGGAACACTTAATAGTGTTGAAGCTGAATTTGTTACACAGATTAAGGTGAATGATTTACAACTTAGGAAAAAATATACCTTATGGAAAAATTATGATTATCTCTACAAAATCATATTTTGAATGGACTCGCTGATAATTTGTCAGAAGTGGAAACTCTTTATCGCTGAAAAGAACGAGTAGTAACTTGCTTATTACAATAGTTGCAATATTACAAAACCAGGTTATGATGCTCTGAAAAACAAGTATGATACTGAAGAGGCTGGAGCAAATAAGTATGATGTTAGTTGCTACTTGTAGTATCAGATCATAGATGAAAGGTTTGTGGAGGCTTAATGTCACAAACATCAAAAGATTGCTCATGAGATCATCACTAAAGGTATGTCTTTAGATAATAAAAAAATTCAAACTGCTTTTATTATTAACAAGTTGCCCCCTAGTTTGAATTTTTTTTTTAATTTCTACTTCACCATAAAACAAAAGAATTTCAATTGAGATTTTGATTATTTGCCTTCGAATTGAAGAAGAATCTCAAAGACAAGATATAAAAAAGTTTCGATTGTTTTAAACAACAACAAAAATTTGGTGCGATTCTGAAGCCAATTTGTAAACCATTAAAGAATCAGAACATCAATTGTGAACTGAATTAAGAATGGGAACCCTTATAGGGTCCAAATTACTCCAATTAATAGGCCGTAACCACCATAGCAAAAAAATGACACTGGTGTTTTCTCTTGCTTCAATTATGGAAAATCAGATCATATGGCTAAGAAATGTAAGATCAGACCTAAACCTTGTGCTTCCTCTAATGAACATGTTAATCTGACTAAAATGAAATTTATTGCAATGATCAATCAAATCAAAATGGTTGAAATATCTAATTGTTGGTGGATAGACACTAGCTTTTCTGGTTATGTCCATTATGATTGTGCAATGTTCAAAACATATGCAAATACTGAAAATAAGAAAGTGTTATGGGAGGTTTGCACACCAATAATGTTGCTAGTAGTGGAGAAGTAGATCTAAAGTCCACTGAAAATATTTTAATCCTAAAGGATGACATGCTTACTCCTAAGATTATAAAGTACCTTGCTTTTTGGTTTTCTTCTAAAATCTAACAGGACCTTGCACTTAGTAAATTTGCCTCCTAGTTGAAAATCAATCGGTTGTAAATGGGGTTTGAAAAAAAACTAAAACTTTATGGAACAATTGATAAGTACAAGGGTGTCCTTGTAGCCAAAAGTTTTAGGTAAAGAGAAAATATAGATTTTTTCGATACTTTTTCCCCAGCCACTAGAATTACATCCATTAGGGTATTAATTTCAATTATTGTTATGTATAACTTAATAGTACATCAAATGGATGTTAAAATAACTTTTTTAAATAGTGACGTAGAAGAATAAATTTATATTGACCATCCGGAAGGGTCTGTGATTCCTAGGAAAGAAAAAATTATATAAGTTAGATAAATCTATGTATGGTCTAAAACAAGCTCCAAAGAAATGTCGTGAAATTTTGATAACTTAATGATATCGAATGAGTACAAAGTGAATGAAAGTGACAAATATGTTTATTATAAATGTGAAAAATGGAATTTGCACTATAATCTGTCTCTACGTGAACGACTTACTCATATTTTGATCAAACCTTCATGTAGTTAATGATGTAAAATCATTATTATGCAACACCTTTTATATGAAAGACCTTGGATAAGGCATTTTGATTTTTGGTATCAAGATCATTAGATTTGAACAAGGAATTTATTTGTATCAGTCTCATTATATGGAGAAGATCTTAAAGAAATATGATTACTTTGGCTATACACTTGCTTGCACACCATACTACCCAAATGTAAAATTGTTTAATAAAACTACTGATAGTGTTAGAAAAAATGAGTATGTGAACATCATTGGCAGTCTTAGGTATGTCACTAATTGTATTAAAATTGACGTTGTATATGTAGTCAGATTGTTGTGTATGTTTAGAAGTAGATTGAGCAATGAGCATTGATAAGTCATTGAAAGAGTCATGTGATACGTAAGAGGACCATGAATCTCAGTTTACATTATTAGAGATTTCCTACTATACTTGAAGGATACAATCATGTGGATTGGAACACCTCATCACATGATTCCAAATTAACATGAGGCTATATATTCAGTATAGATGGAGGAGTTATATCTTGGAAATCAAAGAAACAGACTATTTTGGGCCAGTCCATGATGGATTTTGAAATGATAGCATTAACGACTACTAGTGAAGAAGCAGGGTTGTTAAGATGCTTGCTAGCTGAGATCCCTTATGGGAAAACCCTATGCCAACGGTGTTGATCCACTGCGATAGTATCACGACTTTTGAGAAAATTGAGGATCGTTATTATAATGGTAAGAGACATCAAATAAGAATGAAGCTCAACACTGTTAGAGATTGTATCTCTAAAGAAGCTGTAAGAGTGGATCATGTACGCACTTATGAAATTTAGCATATCCTTTTGACGAAAGGATTAGCTAGCGAGAAATTTTCATAGTACATCTAAGAAGATAGGACTTAATACCTATAGAGAAGTGAGTTTCTCATGATGGTAACCCAACCTAATAGACTGGAAATCCCAAGAAATAGGTTCAATGGGTAATAATAAATTATGAGTAATATGAGATGATCATGCTAGTATAAATAAGACAAGCATGAATCCTGAAGCAATAAAAGGATGACATAATAGAAACTCTTAATGAGATATATACTTATTATGAGGGAGTACCTAGCTACAAGAGTAAACTTGATAGACTCACATTGTGTAAATGTGGAACTTAAGCCTATTCTCATGGAATTTCGAGGCAGAACTCCTAGAGCCTTCACTAAACAGGGATTAATTTGCAGAGCCAGTAAAACATGTGTTCTTAAAAGTTTGTGTGCGAGTTTGATATCTGAGATAGATTTTAAGACAGTTGTGTCACTCTTGTTGAATCAGAAACTTACTTGCTACACAAAGGTTCAAGTCATAGACACCTCTATTTATACACAACCTTATAAATGTATGATGTTATTTCATAAATACATTTTAAAATTCAAGTGAGGGATTATTGGAACATGTCAATGTTCTAAAATAGAGATGAATTTTAAAAAAATTCCCTTAAGTCTCACATTGTTAGAAAAAATTGTTAGAAAAATTATGTATGTGTTTATGTGTTAATTGAAAAAATTATAAATCTCACATTGCTTAGATTACATTCCTT